TCTCATTTAGGTCTTATCACCTATATTAGGTATTGGCAACTTGGTTAACTATTCATCTGTTCATATTGTAGTTGAAAAGTGTTGTTTATCACAACAGAAGTCATTTTTATATGCAGTCTCCTGCTTCTTCACATGAATAATGGTTTGCTGTTTACTTTTGACATACTCTAAAGAGGCACAAGTTATCAATGAAAAAATTGCAGATGACACTATTAAGAGAAAAAAATATCCAAATAGTTGATATCAAGACATTTAACTTAAAGGTGCTAGATGTTAAAGAAGTGCTGACTTTAAACAATTTTTTTAAAGAATAAAAATAAATATATCAAATGAGAATAGGTAAAACTATATTAACCACCTGTCTTATTATAAAAATCACAAAATTTGCAATAATTGTGATTCATTTTCTCTGAAAGTTAAATAAAAGGAATTATGATTTTTAAGTATGTGTACAGGTGAATGTTAAAGACTGGTTTTCCTTTTAAAGCAAAGAGGATGTGATCACAGTAAAGTAGTAAATAGAATTTTGTCTTATGGCTGAACAAGAAAGGAACAATTATCAACATTTTCATTTCTAGGATATATATATATATATATATATATATATATATGTCTAATAATATTTTTCAGATGGTTTGATATAGACGTATCTTCTTATTACAAAATTGAATGTACTCTTGTATTCTCTTGAATCTATTTTATGAGCTCAAAGAAGAGCTCTTATGTAGAATTAATTTGCACAGAAACACTTCCATAAGCTATTCTTATGCTGCTTTGCATTTGGGCATCCACCTTTCTAACATTTCAATGTGCAGAAATCTAATATGAGATGTAATGTATTATTTAGGAATGCATAACAATGACATGATGAGTTTTATGAATTGCTAAAAATAAACTAATTATATCTTAATACCTTGGGCTACATAGTACACTGGAAAGTTCATACATATTGCTATTTTATCTCAGTATGTTTGTTAAAGGCCATTCATACCAGTATCCTCTTATTTGCTCAAAACCAGATTAAAATTTTGTTTTAGTTTTTCATTCGCTGAGGTTGAATTGACATGCATTTGTAGTTCAACAGTGTTTTGTTTTCAAAAACATTCTAAATAGTAGCACTTTGATACAGTACTAATGAACAATTTAAAAAATATTCTTTCATTAATAGATGATGACAATAGTT